GAACTGATATCCAGATGCACCTGCCTCATATCCTGCATGTTAAGTGCAGATGTGTAGCGTGAGTACATAAACAACATATACCCAGTAAGTATCCAGTCTAACCTCGAAGAAGTAGTGACAAAGGGTCGACTTTGACACTTACTATGGGCTAATATATGATTTTCCCTAAGTTCCATAACAAATTTCCCCGTTAAATCCCATTTTTATCAAAAACCTAGGTTTTTCATCTAACCCATAAATTCCACAAATTTACATGTTAAAATCTACCCATAATCTATGTATTAAACTCACATTAGGTAAAAATTACTTACCCTCGATAGCTAGGTTGAAATCCTCCTTTTTGAAGCTCCAAAATCGCCCAAGTGTGTGAAAAATGAGAGGAAAAGGTCTAAGTCCCGTATTTAAAACAAGAATTCCCCTTCTTCGCGAATGCGGAAGAAGCCTCGCATTCGCGAAGGCCTAAGCTTCCTGGGCATCACGAACGTGACAGCTTTTACGCAAACGCAAAGAGCAAAGTGCACTAGCCCTCCCCGGTCCCATTTCCCCTATGTGGATGCGAGTGGGGCTTCGCAAATGCATAGGCCTAGGCATACAAGACTTCACGAACGCATGAGCCTGACCGCAAATGCGAAGGGCAATTGCCCGCTGCCCCCAAATCCTTCTTCGGGAACGCGATGGCCCTCCCGCGTTCTGAAGGAGGAAACCAAAACTGAAAAATCTGATTTTCTAAACTTAGCTCCGGGCGGTCTGAAACACACCCGAGCCCCTCGGGACCCCGTCCAACTACACCACTCCAATCTAGGCAACTCTGACTTCACTAAGTTAATAGTCTTAGCATAGCAATCAAGGATGGCGTGATATGGGGATAGCCAGTCCATGCCCAGTATAACCTCAAAGTCGGTCATATCAGGCAACACACGATCCGCTCTAGTCTCGGATCCATAGAATGTGACCACACAGGACTGATAGATTCGATCCAAAACAACAGAATCGCCCACAGGAGTGGAAACCTAAATAGGAGTACCAAGGACTCACGAGGAATATCCAGGAAATGAGCAAACAAAGATGACACAAATGAATAGGTAGACCCTGGATCAAATAATATTGAAGCATCCCGACCGCATTTAGAAATAATACATGTGATCATGGAATATAAGGCCACTGCATCTGGTCTGGTCAGAAAAACATAGAACCTAACTAGGGTAGCGACTGGCTGGGCCCCACCTGACTAGGATGTAGCTGGCTGGCCTCCACCTGTCTGGCCTCCACCTCTAGGATGGCCCCTACCCGCCTTCCCTCCACCTCTGGGCGGCCGGACAGCTGGTGCTATAATCATGGGCTACTAGCCCTGCTGCACTGACTTGCCCCGAATCCTGGGGCAGAATCTTCGCACATGACTGAAATCTTCGCACTCGAATAACCTCTCGGTACAGTGATCTATTGGCCTAAAGTCTAACCCTGATGGCCTGAGTGCCCACTGGAAGAACCCTAAATGGCTGGTGGGCGGTAAGAATGCTCTGGCAGGGAACTGAAATAGGCGCTGGAAGAACCCTGATGTCCTGAGTACCCATTGGAAGAACCCTGAATAGCTGGTGGGTGGTAAGAACTCTCTGCCATGACATTGAAATAGGGTTGCACTGGAGTACCCCGAGGAGGTAGTGGTGCTGGATATGTGGGCCTGCAAGGCTGACCCCTCCCAAACTGGCCTCTACCCCCAGTCGGGGCACCTCTAAACTCTCTAGAATAGCGGATCCGCTTGTCCCGCTGCATCTGCTCTCTACCTTTCTAACAGTAACCCTCAATCCTCCGAGCTATCTCCACTACTAGCTGATAAGAAGTCCCCATCTCAACCTCTCTGGCCATAGTGGCCTGAATACCTGAGTGCAACCTAGTAGCAAATCTCCGCACTCTCTCTACGTCTGTAGGAAGCATCATAGTACATAGCGAGACAACTCAGAGAACCTCGCCTCAGCATCGGTCACTAACATTTGACCCTGCTAGAGCTGCTCAAACTGGAACCACAACTCTTCCCTCTGAGAGGGTGGAATATACCTATTCAAGAAAAGGCGTGTAAACAGATCCCAAGTCATGGAAGGAGAACCTGTTGGTTGATCACAGCAGACTCAACCTAAGGATGAGTGGGCGCTAATACCTTTACCCAATAGCTATATCGGGGTCGATTTTCCACTGGGAACTTCAAATTGGAGTCGAGTATTTGTATGGTCTAGGATAGTGTTTTAGCTCATAATTGATCTTCTAACATTTTTGGTTTTCTTTTGTTTAAGAGCTACAATTTATCAACTACAGTTGTAAAACTAGGTTATGCTACCACGTGGTTGCGAAAAGGTTCAAATGAGGCCCAAGGCTTCTATTTATAGAAAAACCCTGGGGCTTTCAGCTTACCTACCAGCGCGGCCGCACAAAAATGGCCGTGGTCCGCGTTGGTTTCTTTTAGTCACATTTTGACTACTCAGCCCACGCGGACCACACTGCTTTGATGCGCGGCCTCGTAGGAGTTTATCAGAGACTTGGTAATTTCAGCTTCTCACATGTGGACCGCACAGAAAGGGACGCGGACCGCGTTGAATTTTTTTCTGAGGATGAACTCACTGCTGCTCAAGCCCACGCGGACCGCACTGCTTTGATGCGCGGCCGCGTGGGACAATTTCTATGGATTGATCATTTTTTTTGTACTTATTCCCTGCACTGGTTCAACAAAATCCCTGCAACACTTCACAAATTATCAGCTCAAAAATCCTACTCTACAACAGAAAAACAAAGAAAAGGAAAAAGACATGGGTTGCCTCCCACGAAGCGCCTGATTTAACGTCGCGACACGACGCATGTTACCATCACAGTCATTTCAAATGAATGCGCGCCACCACGTGGCTGTCATCAATCTTTCCCAAATAATGCTTGACGCGATGCCCATTGACTCGGAAGACTTCACCATTTTTATTTTTGAGATCAATGGCACCAAAGGGAGTTATCCCAACCACTTCAAAAGGGCCGCTCCACTTGGACTTCAACTTGCCCAGAAACAACCTCAACCGGGAATTGAAAAGAAGAACCATATCACCCATTTTGAATTCCTTCCCTCTGGCATACTTGTCATGAAGGTACTTCATCTTGTCATTAT